AACACAATAAAAAACCATCCCATGTTTTTCATCATTGCAACTCAAAAAACCATAGTATATATATTAAAAACACAGTCATTTTAAACAAACAAAAAATCAAGGAATCCATCTTAATTGAACAAAACAACCCCACTCTGAACCAACACTCTGGGGTGCCTAGATACCTCTTCCAAGTTTTGCAACAGTTCCAGTCATGTGACTTCTTTGTTCAATACTGTATATATATATATATCCGTGTCAGTGTAAATTACTTGTACCTGATGATGACGAAACGTTGTACATTTACTGTTATGTTAAACTTATATTAAAGTTTTTCTTCATTACCCATTCAAGCCGTCTCCAGCCATTATAATGATGATAAAAACCAAATAAACATTCATATTAAGAGTTTTTGGCATACACAATCTAGATACATGTAAACTTTCTTTTTCCTAAAATGTTAAATTGCCTACGTGAACATCTGATACCTAAATTATTTTATGCAGTATATAATTATATCTTACTTTTATATATCTATAGCATGCCGAGCAAGAGAGTTAAAGATGTTTACTTTAAAATATAAATATTTAACTTTTCAACAAACAAATAAAACTTGTCAAACAACAATTATAAACAAAAGATTAGCTACAAAAATCAAATAGTCAATATCAACATCTTTAATCAAATATGACTGTAAGCAAACTTTTTAATAGCCAGTTAGTCAGTATTTGTTTGAAAATATAAACTGAAATAATTTAACAATACCTGTTTAGTCAACCTTATCATTCTTATCAAATGGAAAATACACACTAGAATAGATCTTGTGCAAAAATCAAACACTTATATAAATATCTCCTACCAATGTAATGTACTATTTTATTTCACCAATAATCCAATTTTTATCTTTATGCCCCCTGCAAATAAAAGCAATTGTCTCATGAATAATCCAATGTTGATCTTCAAACAAATTTATTTCAATAATAATAAAAGCTTACCCAGGGGTAAAATTCTGCCATTACTCACTGATACTGAGTACCAGAACTTATTTTTTAAGGTGGTACTAGTACCGGGACTTATTTGGGTTGCTTTTCAGATGTGAGTGTGCTCCATTGTTCTGTCAGAAAATACACACTGACAAATCAAATGTCATTTTTTATGTTTACTCATAATTTTTTGTTTTAAATAGGTCCACTTCACCCAGCTGAGTACCTGTACTTTTTTTTTGAACTTTCACCCCTGAGTTTACCTCCTTATCTGTTTGTTTGTTTTGGAATTAAGCACAAAGCTACACAATGAGATATCTGTGCTCTGCCCACCACGGGTATCAAAACCCAGTTTCTAGCGTTGTAAGTCCGCAGACATACCGCCGTGCCACTGGGGGGTACCTCCTTATCTGCTGCAAATAAAAACTACAATTTGATTTCATCAATAATCCAATGTTTATCTTAAATCCTCCTGCAAATAAAAACTATAATTTCATTTGACAGTAATTAAATTCTCAACTTATCATTTGAAAAACAAGAAGTTCTATATAAATATGAAAACGTACACTTTGGATACTCACATGCACATCTGCATAAATATTATTCTTCAGTTTCATTATTTGCTTGCTGATAATTTTGAAAACTTAAATGGTTATTTCATGCTACATAAGGCTAAATACATATTTATTATAACTAAAGAAAAGAAAGACCTTGTTACAATGTCACAAATAATGGTTAACTTAAAGCAACATTATATACAATGTTAGACTGAGCACTTTTTGTTACTTAAATAGTGACACCTAATTTCTTTAACATAATTACTTTCTCCAATTTAATTCTTTTTAACTAAATTTTATTTTCAATACAAAATGACTTGGTTACAAAACTATAAACAAATGAATGGACTTGCATGTGTGACACTAGAAATTCTTCACTCTTCATTGATGTGATAAAGTTCAAAACTGTTATCTGATGACTTCTAATATTAACTTTTCTCTTGATAATCTCACCTGCTAATTTTTCCATTTAATGGTCTAAAGAAGTAAATACAAAAGAAAATGGAAAAAAAAACAATTAAGGAGGTATTTCATACAATTTATTATCATGACACCGTTTCATTTCTTTGAGCTTTACTAATTTTATCGAGTTTTAGGACTAGTCTATAGATAACAGTGTAGACTGATAAAATGGATGATGTATTCACAAATGTTAAGATATAAAAGCTAAGTTTTCCTTCCATATTGTTCTTCTCCCCTAGTGCTAGCTCCTGACTATATTATGTATATAACAAAACAAGTTGTAGAAGTTTTATTCTATTTCAACTTTTCTGTTTCAATAAGAGGTATTGAACAATAAACTAAAATATTTCTTTCATATCTGAGCTTCTCTTCAGAGGCAGAAAACTATATATATTCATACTAATCCTAAAAAACAAATTGCAGTGACATTTATTTTCATACTTAATCTAACAAACACACGTCTTGTGTGCTGCAAATTGCACCTAATGTGGCCTTTTGCTCAATACCTGAGTTCATCAGATTGGCTGGGCAAGCAACATGCACATGTAGCCAACCTGATGAACTCTCGTAATAAGTAAAAGGCCTCATCAGCAAGGCAATCGATGGAGTTGACCTGATAAACTCTGGTACTGAGTAAAAGGCCGCATCAGCTATAATATACAGCACATAAAGTGTGCAGTCAAGATGTTATTATATTCTTCTTAATGGCAACTCATTTAAAAACAATAAAAAATATTTGTTACAAATTATTATCAGTATTATTGTGATGGAGTATCAGTAAATATATATAGTGGAAATGTTAAAAGGGCACAAGTAAAAGAAAAAATGGTAAAATACTGCAAATAAACTCTTTATTGATGTTTTTGGCTGCCATCCCTAGCAGTAGACTACAAGAATAGGATTTGCCAATTATAAAAAACATCATGAGGTTTTGGTTAGGTATTTGAAGTTAAGCACAAAGCTACACAATGGGCTATCTGTGCTCTGTCCACCACAGGTATCGAAACCCAGTTTCTAGTGTTATAAGTCTGCAGATATACCACTGTGCCATGGGTCAATTCAACAATATGTAGAATGTTAAAATATAATTCTATCACATCACATAAAAAGCTTTCAACAAGATCTAATGGAAGGACTTATAGTTTGAAGAACAAAAGTTAAACTAAACAAATACTAATATTATAATAAATTTGAAAAGTAAAAATATTTAATCTTAATCTTACAAAAAGAAAAGCATTTATATTGTTTATCAGGTACTGTTCCCAGTTTATGAATTGGTTGTTTTCTTTTAGTAATATCTGGTAAACAATACTTGAATCCAACTATAGAGGAATTGCTGATGTCATGTTCTGAATTGTTAGAGATTCTATGACTGAGATGACAGCTTGCTTGTCCAATGTACATCTGTCCACAATGCTTGCATACTACTGAGGTATCAAGTAAAGGACTGCCTTATATTTAAAGTGAATTTTGGCATATACATTTTATTTAGACTTTCCCATATAATACTTCTGGGTCAATCACAACATTGGGTACCTAGTATGTTCAGGATATGGACATCAGATTTTAATGTACTGTGTAGCAAATACTGGTATCATGCTTGTAGAATATTAATGGGCTAATCACCAAAAATCAAAAATATTAAAAATATAATCGTAGAGAACATCTAATTACTCACAAAATTCTACTACTTACATGTTAACAAGATGGTCTGTTTGTTGGTTTCTTTCACAACTGCACGAAGAGATGATGTATGAGACTATCTTAGACACAAGAAATTCTAGGTAGCCTTTTTCAGTGATAAAAAAATTAGTAATTTATTGAATTTTTGTGTTAAAGTAATCATCTACGGGCAATAAACTAAGTCTTAGATGTTGAGAGTAAGGGATAGAGTTTTCAATGCTTTATGGATGGAATGATTTAAATTATAGGTAAGAATGAGAGTCGGTTGTTTTTTAATTTACGAAGAGTGTCCAAAAAGTTCATGGCCTGACCTATAAAGAAAAAGAGACACTGGTTCAGCTATACTTTATTTTTCAACATAATCTCCTCCCAAGGGGATAATTGAGTAATTCAAATCCAGCACCATGGATAGCATTCAAAGCAACATGCAATTTGTGAGCTGGACATTGTCCTGATGGAAGAGCACACCTTTTTGAGCAATCCTCTTCTCTTTTCTTTGATGTCTTGAAGTAAATTGTTGATTAAGGAGGAATAGTAATCTCCTGTAATGGTTTGACCCTTTTCTAAGTAACCAACTAGTAAAACACTCTTGGTATCCCCAAAAAATTGATGCTATGACCTTCCCAGCAGAGGGTTGTGACTTGAGCTTCTTTAGCATGGGTGAGCTTGTGTGTTCCATTGCAAACTTTGCATTTTTGTCTCTGGGTCAAAGTGGTGAGGCCACGTTTCATCCATAGTTACGAATGTATTGAAACCTTTGAAGTAGATGTCGGCTTTCAATAACTAGGATCCATTTCTGCTCAGGTGACAACATTATTGGAACACATCTGGCACTAACCTTATTTATTCCAAAACTGTCACTCAAAATGTTTGCTACAGTACTTTTATCGATTCCCACTTCCTCTTCTAACTTCCTAGTGGTAATTTTTCTATCATATGTAACCAAATCATGAACTTTATTTACAATTTCTGTTGTGGTCAATGTCGAGGGCCAACCTGAGATCAGATCATCTTCACGATTGTCTACCATGCTTAAACTCAGCACACCACTTTTTTACTGTTGAATATGCAAGAGCAATCTCTTATTCCTCCAGAAAAAAAGTAATATAATGTTCCTATATATTAGTTAATAAAAAAGTAGCACATTATATTATTTGTTACATTTCTTTTTCATGTCCTGCAAAACTTTTACTGTGACTATTCCTATTACTATTCCTAACTTTTTTAACTATGCCTCTGAAATTTAAATTATTATATGTATATCAATATGATTGCACAGTGCACATGCACACAATTAACCTGACAAAAAACAAAACTAAGACCCTGGTGTAAATAAACCTTGTATTAAAGCCATTTTATGAGCTGCTTTCTGAACTTTTTCCTTGGCAATTAGTCAAAGGAAAATCATAATTAATACGTCAGTGAGATATTTTATTTGCTTAAAGTTTAGAAAGTGAAATTTACTTTGAGTTTAAAAAAGAGAGCACTAATATCAGTGTACAACAGAAAGAAGGTAATGAGATGAACTCATTTCTTTTTCTCCAGAAAGTAACTAGAATACTATTATTCAAAATATATTAGACTATAGCATCTTGTTATTGACAAAAGTAATATTATTACAGCAATGAGTAACTTATACTTTGCCAACTCTGCTAGTTGTAATGTAGTAGTTTTTCAAACAAATTTTAATTTCTAAAAATGGTGGGCTTTGGCTAGAAAAAATTGCAAGTGTATATTGAAGTGAAGAGTTGAAAGATGTAACATAGCTTAAAAATTGAAATTTATCTGTTTTTTTCGTGTTTTTGTACACAACGAAGCTATACCTACAATGTCATCGATACATCTGTTATACATAGTAGGTGTTCCACCTGGATACTGCTTGAAAATGTGATTTCCAACATATCCAAGAACAAATTGGCATAGGATGGGCCATTTCAGCATGGTTTTGGGCTTTGGTAAGCTTCTTTCGTAAGGTTAATGTTGGCTTCTGTTTTCTGTGATCCCTGTCAGATATTATTTGAGAAGTGTTAAAAACTGTCGAAGGAAATTGGTGGGATGCAGTGTTCATGTCATGCAAGGAAGTGGAATTTTCTGGATTTTCCTGATTGTTATTAAGTATATCTGTGTATTTTTTTTACATTGATTTTATTGACTTTGAATGTTTTAAAGATATGTGGAATTTTCCATAGAATAGGAGTTTATATCACAATTGAATTTTAGATTACTGTTAGTTAATATTTCTCTAAAGAGTAGAGAGCATGAGACAACCTTAGCACTTAAAAAGTTTATGCTGAAAATTCAAAAACAGAAAATCAGGTGGAAAGAAGTGTAGATGAAAGTCTTGTGGTGCAATATGGCTATAAAGGAAAGTGATTACAAAAACAATGTGACTGTTGAAACATGTATAAACAAGCTGTTGTCTTGGTGACAGAATCCATGAACAGCTAAATCAGATAAGAAAACAAAGAAAGACCATCTTTGTGAATACCAGTTCAGAACACAATGTCAGTTGAACTTAAGTAAGCCTCATCAAATCTCATAAAATGAAAAGATCTTGAAAACCGACTAATCCGTAAACTGGAGACTCTGCACCCTAATGATCTGAATGAATGTTTCTCTTTCCAGTAAAATTTAAAATGTTTTATTTGTCATATTTCTAAATTTAATTTGTCAAATTTATATTAATATTTATTTCATTTATTTCTTTTCATTTTTCAAACCGGAAACGAAAACTATTAGCTCTTAATGAAAGCTTTTTATGTAATGTAATAGAACTGGATTTGAACATTCTATAGGGTGGAACCATAGGTGATTTACAACTCGAAAGTCCAAGCTTGGTTGAATGACACCTTTCCATGACATTGGGTTGGCAAACGTGGTCCCCACAAATGGGCCCCAAGATCTCCAGGCTTGACTCCCATGGATCTCTTTTTCTGGAGACTACTCAAGACACATGCGTACAAAGAGAAGATCAGGAACACCGAACATCTGAAACAACAAATTCGCAACAAGTGTTGGACCATTGACAATGACACAAGTGGTGACACAATGCAGTGTTCAAAAAGAATGGAAATACCATCTTGAAACTTGTTTCAAATTACAAGGGCAGCAAATGGAACACATTTTGTAAAATTCATTGAAGTGCCTATTGTTTCAGACTTTTCGAACACCCTGTACATATTGTTGTATTGAGTTCACCAATCTATATAATTTTGCATAAATTCTAATAACGTGCTTTATGCAATTGGCAATTCTTATTCTCGCATCTTTTAAATAATTCAACATCTTGCTGTTAGATCTGAAGAAGGATAGCAACCCAAAACAATATCTATAAGTATATATATTTCATAACCAATGTAACAATTTCTACTTATACTGATTCTAAAAGTAAAACAGACAATACCATACATACAGAAATAGACTAATAAACACAATGTAGCCAATAATATGCATAACAATGTTAATGACAAGAGGTAATGCTCAATATAATATATCTGTAGTAATGCCAAAAAAAAATTGAAGAATGATTTACTATAGAACAAAACGAATGTCTCAATACTTTATTGCAAACTGACTTTGGAGCACTGGGTTTCAGTAACTTTTTTTAGAAAAAAACAAAAAATCAACTAAGCTATTGCATATCTTATTAATGATCATTTCAGACTTGCATTTGCTTTAACATTTAATTTTAGAATTTCATAAAGTTAACAAGTAGAAGCTCACTTTTTCTATGGAATGGGAAAATAGTAGCTTTTGACTTTTTTCTTTGAATTTCACAAAATTCACATATTCCATGATTTTTTTTCTACACAGATTAACAATAGATTATATTAAATTATATTATACTATTATACAGTTTTCATAAATAATACATTCATCTGACAACATACCGAGGCTCTGAGTGCTTCTTGTAAATACAAGTGTTCTGTGGAATGTGGAAGGAGCTTTTTCCTGTAGTCTTCTAACCCCAAACGATCCTTCATTAAAACTAAAGTCTGGAGAAAATACGAACATGTTGTCTAATCCTTAGTTACCAGAACATCTGTGGTAGTAGTACTACTTGTTTAAATTGGGTTTTGAATATGTAAAAATAGTCGAAGCATAACCTTAGAAATTTATATGTTACTAAGCTTTGCACATAAAAGTTCTAAGCTTACCACATTCCTAGGTCATTGGTTGAGATTCTGAGAATAACATTTCAGAGATGCAATACATATTTACAAACAGTTTCTTTAGTGTAAGTAATAAATGATGAGCACAAGCAATATTTTTGTAGAACTGAATTAATGTGCCACTCTATGAACCATAAATTGTACATTTGACTTAACTGGTAAAAAAAAATTGATTATTATACAAATGTTTTCTTACTAAAAAATGATACAAAACTTACTCAAATATCTTAAATATTTTTGTACATTTAAAAACATTTACTCTCTCTCTATATATATACATATATAAAGATATATATATATATATATATATATAAATATAAACCTAAAATAATCAAAACAAACTTCCCTCAAGTGCTTCACTGCTTCTGTCTTGTCTTGTGAACACAGACTTTGTGTTGACAAAATAACCAAAAATAAGATCACGCAAACCAACAGTTCCAGATATTCAAAAGTAAATGATAACTGGAAAGACAGTCTTCATAATACACACAGCTTTCATGACATCTAGTAGTAAATAAGAAAAGTTTCTTCTACATAAATCACTTTTCTTTTTAAGGTAGCAACAACAGCCTACATTCCATTACACCAAGGGATAGAACACAGAAGATCTAAGAGGATGTAGTTGCTTGAAAGTTTCCAGTCCCTCAGCCTGAAGATGAATCCATCCATTGGTTTTCCAAAATTTATGGTTTTATTAAATAAAAAAATTGACTTGAAAAAAGCAAACAAAAAGCAGGATTTGACTTCAAACTGGCTGTGCATACAAGCTCTCTGCAAACTAACAGTGCTACCTTGTTGCTTCCTTTCTACCCAACACTAATAATGCTACATTATTATGTAGTTTCTGCCCAACACCAGCAGTGCTACCTTATTGTTTAGTTCCTATCCAATACTAGCATTGGTGTTATGGTGTTTTACCACACTGTCAATTCTTTCATATCCATTGGTTTTATACAACACTACTTGTACTAAAGTATTGTTTAGTTTCTATTACACAGTAAGTGTGTTTTATTGATGGTGATGAAATAATACAGTGTAGCTCAAATCCATAACTAACAATGTCCAAAATAAAAGATTTCCATAATCATCATATGTAGTCACACATATGGCACAAACTTTTTACATGCCCACCTAAATATTTTACTTGCCTGAACTGTTCTTAATTGCCAAGCTTCCATTGATATTGGGATACCTACTACCCTGACACAAACATACAATACATAAATAAACAAAATTATTTTTGTACTCTTAAGTACTCTACATGAGCTTAACAGTGCTACCATGACATAACGTTCTCCCTAAATGACAACCAGAGCTCCACATGAGTTGAAGAGTGCTAGCATGACATGATACATACCCTGAATGACAACCACAATACCACAGGATCTGAACAGTGCTACCATGACATGAAATGAGGTGTGCTTGGATCTAATGTCATATTAACACTTTCACAAAAAAATATTATTTAATGTAAATAGCTAATTTATAAACATAACTATCAGAGATACTTCTGTAAACTTAAGCTGACACAAAGGTGTAGAGTTAATACTAACAAATTAGTTATTATTACAATGTGTGAAATACTGCAGTCAGTAATTCACACAAATCAGTTAATCATTAAAAAATCATTTAATATTATATTAAACCACTGTGGAGAGCAAACAGTGACAGCATTAATAAAGATTCAAAATGACAGAACTAACAGAATATTTGTAAACAAGTAAATATTTTAACAACTCATATAAATACCAGTAATTGCTGTATACTGCTAGATTTACGAAAGGGAAACAGTTAATAATAGCAATTTATCCATAAAACTACAACTCAAGGAAATATGGAGAAATAATAGCTATTTAATGTGCATGCTATATATATATCTTAACATGCTCTTATACAGATATACAGTGCTTGTTAAAACATGAAACAAAAAAGTAGTACTTCACATACTCAAAATAAGTACATTTTGTGAGAGAGATATATAAACTAATGCAGTTGGTTCAAATACCTTGAGAACAAAACAGTTTACATTTTATTAGAAAGCAATCTATAAACATTATATCACATTGTTATAGATATAAGCTATCAGTTATGACATGAAAATTTGTTTTTTCACTTACGTCAACCACAACTTGATGACATTTGTACTTTTTAGCTAAGCTGAGGCGTTTCTCTAATCCATCCACTAATTTCAAGTATTTTGATACAACCTGTTGTAGATTTCTTTATTTAATAATAACATACTTTCTGGACAGGTACACAGGTGATTTGATCAAAAATAAATATCAAATTATGGACATAAAATAAACACTAATTCATTATAAAACTAGCGAGTTCATTTTTCTAAATGTAAATTTCAAATCATTTCTTTTTATCCACTGTATATAATTTTAAAATTCTAATATAAGCTGTTCAAATTGAGTTTGAAAACAGGACTTTTAATATTATGTTAGTAAAACAACAATGATGTCATCTACAAAATCCTGCACTTTTTATACATAATGTATTTCATTAAGAAATGCATTCTCACAAACATTTTTCAACTTCAAGTAACAAAAAGTGTTGAACCATTAAAAGTACAATTACCAGTCTATCAAGCAAAAAAAATCTAGATAATAATGTTATTTTGTTGTTGTTGTTGATTATGACCTAAGGCCAAAAAAAAAGGTTTGTTTCAGAGAATGGTCATAGGATAAGGTAGTCTGTAGGTAAGAATTGTTTTTGTTGGAAATTGAATTTGAAACCAAAGAAACACCATGTTTTGCCATGGAATATGGGATTGTTACACCATAATTTGCATCACCTGTTTCATTTAGTGCACCACATTGGATATGCATTTTCTTGACATTACAGTTAACAACATTATTAAATGCTGCATGGTGGTCTTCTAGTTTATGCCATTTGGTTTGGTCCAAATCTGAACAATGAAAGTTAAGTTGAATACTTTTTCCAGAATAGAATGAATTTCTTGGCAGACTTCAACAAAGTTGCTCATTCTTTTACAACTGAAAAATACACGTTTTCCTTCAAAGTGCTTGAATTTTCACCTCTCTTTATGCTAAACACCCATGATTTGACATTGTTGTTTACATTTTACTATCTGGTTGTGCATGTGTATTGCTAACTAAACTTTATATGGGTGTAGGGAAAGCTTAAATTTATGCACCTTATTAAAATACAAAATGGGATCCAATGCCTTTTTAACAGTCACAGTGTATTTTTTATGAATATTATTTTAAGGACAGACTTTATTTCATCAGTACAGCATATGCAGTCAATACTATATAACATACACCATGTGGAATGTCCATATCATGCTTTACTTCACCTGATTTTACAAATAGAAAATGTATACATCACATGATAAAAATAGATTCATCAGAATGTCAGTATTTTTTTAAGTCTTCATTTGATAATTGTGCTCAGTTATTCGTGTTTTCAAGAATTCTATATAATTTTTAATAAAAAAATTTTTTTTCACTTAACAGAGATATTTTTTCTATGAAAAGTCAATAAAACTTACCTAGTTGGATTTTTAGAAACACATTTTTTTTTTCCTAAATGACTTATCAAAAACTTTCAGGTTTATTTGTTAAATGAAATCTCTTTCAAAGTATCTTTCACAAAATACAAAAAGTTAATATTTTATCAGAAACATTAATGATTTTGATAGCAATTACATTGTAACTTTTCTAAAAACCATAAATAAGCCCGACTTTACCTCAATGGGAGCTTTATGTAAACATAAAACATCTACAACTTTGTCAAAGCCAATACAGCATCTCATCTTAGTCCCTCCAAGCCATGACTGAAACAAAAATGTGAGAAAAATATATATAAAGCATCCATATATGGCTATTTACTGGAATGAGAAACACACACCAGCAATACTAGAGAGAACGATGCAAGCACAAAGACTAAAGGTTGTGATTACCAACAAGCAGAGAAAATGAAATATCTATCTAAAATATGCAAGCAGATGTACACATATATGGCTATTTACTGGAATGAGAAACACACACAAGCAATACTAGAGAGAACGATGTAAGCACAAAGACTAAAGGTTGTGATTACCAACAAGCAGAGAAAATGGAATATCTATCTAAAATATGCAAGCAGATGTACACATATATAGTTTTTCTTTTATGGTGGCAAATAAACTGTGAAACCATTCTCATCAACTTTGAAATTAACAAAATTATTTGCTGTTTTTCAAAACTTCCAATTTGGTTTTGTAAATCTGTTTGTAACACATCAATGTTCGTGTTCCCTTTTTTTCTAAGCTTACAGTAAATAAAGAATCTTTAGATAAAAAAAAGATAAAACAACCACAAGATTTGAGCCCTTAGGAATGCATTACATATCAGAAGTATTTTGTGAGCATAACATACTTTACTCTGGAAAAGATTTTGTATTTGATTCCACTGCTGTCTTTGAGTAAGTGCACCAAGAGCAGTCCAAACAAACTGCTTGTCTGTAAGCTGCAGATACATAATAATTTTTATGAAAAAAATAAAAATCACTGAAATTCAATTTTAATAGTTCAAAAGGTATTAATGGCTAACATAAAAATAAATACTACCATTTTAACTTTTCTTTTACAATAAAATATTATGTATTCATAACTTTACTGAGACTTAGATTTTTAAATTCTATACAAACAAATTACACTGAAATATAATTTAATATATTAATATAGAATAAGTTCCATAAAAATACTTTTCATTCTACTATAACATATTTCAAATATATTTTGATAAAACCAAAACATCTATTTCATTTAGAAACGTTTAGAATATTTCTAATAATTAATTATTTGAATTTTAATAAAACATTCTAATTTTAATTCAAGAAATAAACTATAAAACATACATCAGGTTTGTTTTTCATTTACATAATTTCCAAACAGATAATACTTTTTTATTTCTCTGTTTGACTTGATTACTGTATTTGCCAGAGTATACGACAATACTTTTTACTCTTAAAGCAATGCCTGATTTTACCACTCATCTTATAGACAGGTTCAAAGATAGAGTTCCAGTAACAACTCTCTGGTTAGTAGCATATTTAACCCAAACTATATTTTTTCTTTTACTTTTGTTTGCTTTTTTGAGGAAGTGCGTTGACATCGTACCACCTACTGCATTACAATAACATATTTATAACTGTATCATTTGTCTTGATTCTTCATAATTAGAAGTTATTTATCTCACATGCTAGTTACAATTAATCAAGACATTTTTTATTTGAAATGTATTGATCTCATCTGTCATACTAAAATATTGCTAATATTATATCAAAAAAAGTTACATATATTTTGTAAACATGTTTTTTTATAGTATATCACTATATCTTAAGGTTAAGAATTTTTCTGTAATAGGAAAAGAGTTGAACTGTGATGAAAAATTTGTAAAGTTGTTTATTACATGTTCATGACTTAAGTTATGCTGAACTGAGTTGTCTGTAGCTTTGAAGAGCATAAAAACCACACTCATGGTTGTATTGATTACTTCAGAGTGAAGGTTAGCACAGTTTAAAAATAACTTCTAAGAATTTCTTTACAAAAGTAACATCCTAAACTTGCTTGACAATAGAGATTGTCCTATACACTGAACCTCAAAGAAATACACTTAATTTGCTCAATAAATCAGGGTCATCTTATATGAGAGGTTGTCTTATACACTGGCAAATACGGTAATATAAAATGTAACTCTATTATAATTAACAGTGTAAAGTGAGTTTGGTAGTGTTTAGGTTTCCCTGGATAAAATACAATTACAACAAGCACTAAAGCATTACCTAACCATCATAATAACCAACAAGATTAAACCAATCATTAAAAACTTTCAGTTATTTCACATGCCCAATTTAATATAATTCTTAAAAATAATAATAATAATGAAATGAAAACTACCATTTGATAGTGATACTAATTCCAGGTGATGTAAATTCTCTAAAAGTAATTTATATAAACAAAAAGATATTTTTTAACACCTGCTAAACTCACTTGATGGGCTTTCTTTATAGCTTGGGGACTAGCAAAATTGTTCTGTAATAAAAATTGGAAGTATGAATTTATATACTTGAGTATTCTGTAATAAAATTTGGAAATATGAATGTACATACTTGATTATTCTGTAATAAAAATTAGAAATATGAACTTACATACTTGAATATTCTGTAATAAAATTTGGAAATATGAATTTACATACTTGATCATTCTGTAATAAATATTGGAAATGTGAACTTACATACTTGATTATTCTGTAATAAATATTGGAAATGTGAACTTACATACTTGAATATTCTGTAATAAAATTTGGAAATGTGAATTTACATACTTGATTATTTTGTAATAAAAATTGGAAGTATGAATTTACATACTTGATTACTCTGTGGAAATATGAATTTACATACTTGATTACTCTGTGAAATATGAATTTACATACTTGATTACTCTGTGAAATATGAATTTACATACTTGATTACTCTGTGGAAATATGAATTTACATACTTGATTACTCTGTGGAAATATGAATTTACATACTTGATTACTCTGTGGAAATATGAATTTACATACTTGATTACTCTGTGAAATATGAATTTGCATACTTGATTACTCTGTGAAAGATGAATTTACATACTTGATTACTCTGTGGAAATATGAATTTACATACTTGATTACTCTGTGGAAATATGAATTTACATACTGTTTACTCTTTAATAAAAATTGGAAATATGAATTTACATACTGTCTACTCTTTAATAAAAATTGGAAATATGAAGTTACATACTTGAAACTGGCTGAAAATTATAAATATAAGTTCAAAAAATACAAACAAAAAGGTCAGAAAACCTTTGGATCACCATTAGCTCTCCGATCATTTTGGCCAACCATTTAGTCACCGTGTACTTAAGATAACTTTAAATGTAGTGAGTGCATCTTCACAAACTTTGGTAACCCTTTAGTAAACATTACAAGTCTTTTGTACACAGAAAATAAATTGTTAATTTATTATTTTTACTACAGAATTGTCTGTGAATTTACAAAGCCTTTACTGAGTCAATCTAAGTGCAAGATGATTTTCATGTTAAGAAACAACAAATACTTGTTTTCATCTTACAATTTTCATATTCTGTTTGCATAACCTCTAGAACTTCCTAAATGAATATCAAAAAATTTTTCAGTAAAACTTTATATTTTATCTGTTATTTTATCTACATTAAAACTGTATGTAGGCCTGGTCCATTTGATCATCCTTGTAACCAGCACATAACAAAAAAATATTAAATAAACCTAAATTACCATATTTCTTTTCTATTGTAACAGACAATTATACAATATTCTTACAGCTAAATCTAATACTTTACGAGTCTCCTTGTCATTTAAATTTACTGCTTTACAGATGCACTTTGAGTATGGAAAAAGCAAGCTTGGTATAAACAAAGTATCAAGTTACTAGCATGCTTTAAAATCACGCTGCACTGAGAATATGCACGTACTATCATAAGTATATCTTTATTTAATTTATTTTTCATTTAAGTTTTATTATTGAACCTAATAATTTTCTAACTTTTACATTTTAATTTCTTTTATAACAATAAATAAAAAACATACCAGGTATTTAGTGCTTACATGTTGGTCTTGTACTTTTACAACATTTTCCTCTCAAAGTCTCTACAAGAGGTAACTCTACATTTTGGTAGGGTTGTTATTAGTGCTTTAATAATTTTTATTTATTTCAAATATGGAATTTAAAGCATGAAATATCAACACACCAAAACATACAATGTCCTAAAACTATTACAATTTAACAGGCTTTACAACTAAGCTTTAAGGGTATTAAAATAATTGAATTAGCTGGTCGAAGTGATTTCAGCAATAGCAACAATTAAACAGTACGCCAAATAATTCAAAACTGTCATCAAACTAGTTAGCCTTATAGCAAAAACAGTAAGTTATAATTTTCTATTTTTATTGGCTATAAATAATCCAATAGCATATGTAAGAAAGAGTTATCAACTTTTGAAAGACAGAATGTGATAGGAGGGCATGGCACGTAGGCTTGACTCCCTGGTTTTTATATCTCAGTAAAGCAAGAAGATTTAAGATTATAAGTTAACATTATGTCCTAGCAATATCTATACAATAAATGTGCAATTTATGCCAAACTCAGAAGATCATATAGGGGTAAAAATCTAAAATAGAAATAAGTGATACATTATAGTGAAGATTGAGAATTTATTCAATTATTTCCTTTTCAAATTAAGCAATTAAAACTAATATTAAAACATGAATTATAAACTACATTTTTATGTTAAATGTATTGACAAACATTAATAATAAAGTAGTTTAATTAAATTTTGAACATAACTCTGTAAAAAAGGTTGTAACGGGCACTTTGACCTACCCGTAAACACAGGATTAACATACCATTAACTAAAGATTTGAGAAAAAAATTATGCAAAAGCTTCAAATTTGTATTTGATTACAGAGACATAAGTGGCTTACAAACATTTAATAATCTATAAAAGTTGATCAGCACCTTGAGTTTCACATTACTTTGCTAAGAAAACTATATGATGCTTTTGTCATTCATCTAATGTGTTTTAATTGGAAAATTATCTATCCTAGTAGAATATTAACTTTCATGGTTTTTAATCAGACTAAAAGTTCAATTGTTTTACATTAAATAACATTATAATACTAAAATGTCTAGATAACATTCAGTGGTAATTCCAATGAAATATTATTCTAAGTAGCAGCTAATTAATGAATTTGAGATCTTTATCATCCATATAGAAGCTTTTAAAATTCACTATGCTTTTAGCATGTTTAATTTCACATCTTAAGTATGTTTGAAGCCAACTTCAAATATTTACCAGAAAAATGATCTAGAAACATTTGCAGAAAACACTAAGTATGTCCATTACTCATAACCAAGTGAATCACTGCTCATCAACAGTTACTAGATGAGGTACTTACAATCTTAGATGAAGTTAAAATCGAAAACAAGTAAATATAAAAGTAAAATTAACTAATAGCTTACCTCGGGTAATTCCCAATGATAAAGGCAACAATAGTATAATGTTGTAATTACAGAATTATTAATCAGTGAAGCTGGTCTTGGTATTTCTTGAAAAATGGGATTTATTCCTTCTTTTTCTTGTCTGATATCGCCTTCCTAAGGAACAATCACAAGTTAATAGTTTTTGTTAACAATTAATTCACATAAGCTTTTTTCAACTACTAAAAAAATACCTACGTACAACGGTCTCTTAACATCTTTGGAAAGCAGTCAACTATAAAAAGTTATAAATTTTTATTCTTAAGGAAAGAAACAGTTACAAAACAGCTGTGATCCTGTTTTATTGAGAAAAGGATCTAAAAGCAGCATAATTACTCAAGGTTTATCGTTACTGAAAGAATCAGCTACAAAAACATTATAAATCGAGCTTTGTTTCTAAGGAAAGAAACAGTCATGAAAATATAAGTCAAGCTTTGTTGTTAAGGGAAGAATCAGTCTCATAAAAATAATTAGAACAAGCATAATAGCTTCTAGATCAAATTTAAAATGTATGTTGTATTAACAACAGTTATTCAAAATAATAAAACTTTCATGTGTATATATATATTGCGTATTTTTAAACCGTAACAATAATTCATCCTTTTCCATGCTTAAGATTAGTTCTTCAAACAATCATAAAAATAACAAATGTACATTAAACATATCTGGTTATCAAGTTAAACAAATCAACTTTTCCATTCAATGTATACTTTATGTTATTCTTATCTCTATTATAATTATCCTCCTAATTTTTGACATAACTCCTACAGTTGACCCTGTTAATATGTATTCGATGGACATTTACATTCCCATACAAAACATGACAGTAATTGGAAATCAGTTTTTTTTGTTTTTTGGAATATTTTTGCAAAGCTATTACACAAAGACCTCTCTGGACATAGCTGTCTCTATCTTTGAACTGACAAGCAAGAAGGAAGACAGCAGTAAACATCACCTACTGCTAACTCTTGGGCAACTCTTGCCTGACTGAATACTTAGGTCTGACTGTCACTCTTATAGTGCACCCAAGGACCAAGGGAGTAGAATGCTTTTTTGTATAAAAGAGGTCAGGACCCACATATCCCCAGATTAACAGTTTGGGCACATTAACCATTAGGCCAAGCCTGGCTCCAGAAATAAGAGAACTGAAGAAATCTAAAACACTTAAAACAGAGAAAAATGTTCTATCACAGCATTAATACACGCACATACATGTAAAGTTTCCAGTGGCAAAAATTTTGTGTTGCAACACACACAGTTACAACTTCAGCACTGACAAGACTGATATGTCACACATAATTAAACCAACAAACTAAACTTTATTAAATAAAATTAATTTTTTCACAGGACACCAACAGTCTGATGATTTATGGAATCCATTATGTATCTTTCAAACCAATTTTTACACCAAATGTCACATCTTTAATGGGTTACAATATTTATTTGTTACAATACAGTCATTATATAGTTCAAAACCTTAATTCACAGCTGATTATAAGATTTATTTTGTTACCTAATATATTCTAATATTTTCATTCTCGTGGCTGATAGACAATTTGTACACAATATGCATTTATCACAATAAAACTTACTTCAATCGGAAACTGTCTTTCAAGAAGCGAAATTTGTTCACCGAGCAGTTGGAAATATATGGACAAGCTAGGATCAGACTGAAAATGGTTCCTTAAATGTAAAATGAGAACAGATTAAACAATAATTTTTTACATAACACATCAATAAATTTCTTAGTACTTACATATTTGAAATTTGAGGAATTAGAAGCTGCTTTTCCTTTTGCTACCATGTGAACTTACAGTGGTGGAAATATTTATTGCATTACTCAATTTGTCCACACTTTTCTTCAGAATCATTGTTTGTTTTGAGGCCCTAATACGCAAATGTGTCTCATGAATGGTGCAATACTGTTTAATTATTACAGTAGCAGCTTTGTAGGTTGTCTGAGTATTGCATCAGCAATTTTCTGGCTATAAATAAAGGTTCTTATTGTGAGACAGCTTATAAGCCTATCTGCTACAATATGTTTGTAATGCTACCATAGCCAAGGGTTGTGAGTTAGCTCCAAGTATAACAAAAAATCAATCATTGTTCCTTTAAGCAAAGAGGGACTTTTGACAAGATAGAATTCTAGAAAAATTAAATTTAACTGGTCTATTGTGAGCTGCTGGGTGCAGGGATATAGAGAGAAGGGATAAGAAGAAAGCTTCCACAGCAGCTGACACTCATGTTCTGAAACACACGAGACTGCAGAATCATCAACTGTTGTCCACAGATTTCTAAAGAGCACAGCAGAAAACTTCAGGGGTCACTGTCACCAAGCACACTGTCCAGTCTTCCTGTGTTAAGCCAGTCTCCCACCAAGACAGCCAAGAAAGAAACACCTCCTCACCAACAAGGTGAAGATGAGACCCAACTGGGCCAAAGAGCAGGCTTACTGGACTGAAGAAATGTTAAACAAAGTGATATTCTCAGAGTAATCAAAGTTCAACCTGCACTGGTCTGATGGGATGCACTTTGTACAGCATTGATGCAACTGTGAAACATTTGCAGGGTCATGTGATAGAGAGATGCATCTCTGACCAAGATGTAGCCAGGCAACAGCCCAGATCTCAATCCTATCAAAAACTGATGGAATTTAATGGGTAACAAGGTGCAAAGGAAGAAACCGAGAAGCACCTTGTAACTGCAGGAAGTCCTAACCTGCATGTGACATCATGGACTAATCCCTGCCTACATTCAGTCCCTATGCCATAGCCATGCCAAGCAGCCACCAATGCCTGAAAGATGGCACAACCAAATATTAAAACAATAAACAGACTCTGTGACCACTTTTTGTCAATTACATTAGTGGTGTTTTCTTTAAATCTAGGTTTTCTTACTCAGAGAACATTTTTGTATTTGCCAAGGATTTGTTGATTATCTGCTGTAGTATGTTTGTTATGGTTGGTTTGTTAATAAAGATGCATATTTGTGACTGGATGACTATAATATGAGTAAGCTTACAACACACAATGTCCATAACTGTTTTACACTAGTTCTGACACTTCTACAATGCATGATCAGGAACCAAGAAAAGAGTGAAAACATTGGGTGATGCAATAATTTTTTTCCACCGCTGCATTATGTTACACAATTCACACTTCACTTTAAAATCATTTACTATTTCAAAGTATTCCCATACTGGACTCTTTGTACCACTGATAGCAACATCCACCTGATGTCAGTGAGAGCACAGCAAATGACAGGTCCGTGCAAGTCTTTGTTACAGTTTGTATACACTGCAGGGCATACTACAGGTTGAGATACTTAAAGAAGCACTGGACATGTCCAGAAAAAACTACACTCTTCATAAAATCCATCTTTCTACAGAAATACTATAGACATTTTTAGTCACTACACAAAATGAAGTACAGAAATTATGGCATGATCCTTTTTTTATTTTTGCATCCTACTCAGACTGCATTTTTGTTTAACTTTTCCAAGATTTCATATTGACTTTTATATTTAGATATATGTCCCACAGTTTTCTGTGTTCTGTGAAATGCATTTAAATAAACAAATCACTTATTCAATGGCCAAAACACAATCCATTAAACATTTACTGAATAAAACATTTCACAACAGCCTGATTATACTTCATACTATACTTGTCAACAATATAATACACAATGCATCAAATGTTTTTCAATCTTTACTCATCAACAAGAAACATTTTAACCCTTTCAAGACAGGTCACACATGAAAGGCCATGTCATCTTGTTTGTTGACTCACATTCAAACTTTTATTGAACTACTATTTCATGAATTTATGTGAATAAGTTTGGTACCAAACTGTAGATTATAATTCAAATTTTAGTACTATACATTACTCAATTTCTTGATTTAAAAGTAAATATTAAAATACACAGATAAACATCAATTTTTATGCATCATGTGGCATGTTGAATACAACACTGATTCAAATTAGATGTTTGTGAAGTCAAAATACCAAGTCTATAGTTTCGTACATATTAGAAACTCAAATTACCAATATTGACAAGTTAGAATATAAAATAAGAACGTCTTGTCATTTCTATTTGCTAAGATATTGCTCGTGTAATAAATCAAACACAGTGGCACCCCACCCACCTCTTTCCATTTATGGAAATGCTTCCTTATATACACTTACTTCTATATATGACATGAATAACCAATTAGAAGATCAGAATGTCCCCTAGTGGCTTTCTCAGCCATTTTAACAGGATTGGACACCATTTATTTCTTTTGAACCAATATCTCAAGGATGTAGGGTGTGTCTTTAGTCTGTTCGAAATTTCATATTTTTTAGACTAAAATACATCTTTGTATAGTTTACTGATAATGTGCCAAATTTTGTTAACATCCACTTACTAATTTAATAGTTATAGCATGAAAACTATAACAAGTACAAAATTGTTACAAGGTCAGTTCCAGGGACAGAGTTCGTGCTGAAAGAGTTAAAGAACAAATGAACCAACTTCAAGTTCAATCTTGTCAAGTTTAACATTTATAAAAATAAGTTTGTTTAAAATATATTCAAATAAACTGACAAATAATAAAATAAACATCAATTCTTATTGCAACAAATTACAGGAAGTGTTACCCTTACTTGACTGATAGTTCTTGAATATTTTTTTTTAATTATACTGGTATTTAAATTTTAATCATTTATAAATGTATGGAAACAATGGCATATCCTGCTTTTGTTTCACATGCATAAGGTCCACCACATCAAACAAAACTTTTTGTTTTGCTATTGCTTGTCTGGGTTACTGAACACAGGATGGTAACTAGAAGAGAGAGTCAAAATATTTTAGTTCCACATTTTTTTTAGTTATCTTCTTTTAGAAGAAATAAAAAAGCCTATCAACAAACTTAATGATTATAACAAATAAACATGCTAATTACAACAAATATAACTGATACTAACTAATTCAAAATGTTTTACCTCTGACAATGCTGTAGAAGTTTCAGTTTTTTCTCTGGTTGTGCTGTTTTAACAGCCAATTTGTAGTTCAACATCTATTCATAAACAGAAAAAAGAAATAATACAACTCTCTGTACTAAACATTTACTCAAAAGTACAATGCATTTTTTTAATAAAATAATAATTTTATTTAAAAATAACATGCAATACTATAACCTACTGTATTCCTACACTATCTGATCCAGTTATAAAAGTTGAATCACAATATTTAATAAATATACCTATTTATAGGTTACAATAAGCTGAATCACGGCATTTAATATATATGTCTGTTTATAGGTTACAATAAATTGAATCACAGTATTTAATAAATACGCCTGTTTATAGGTTACAATAAGCTGAGCCACAGTATTTAATACATATGCCTGTTTATAGGTTACAATAAGCTGAGCCACAGTATTTAATAAATACGCCTGTTTATAGGTTACAATAAGCTGAATCACAGTATTTAATACATATGCCTGTTTATAGGTTACAATAAGATGAGCCACAGTATTTAATAAATATGCCTGTTTATAGGTTACAATAAGTTGAATCACAGCATTTAATAAATATGTCTGTTTATAGGTTACAATAAGTTGAATCACAGTATTTAATATATATGCCTGTTTATAGGCTATAAATATATATATTATTTTTCACTTACACCAGCTTCATCTGTTCTTCCTAATAATCTGTATTACAAAAAAGGAAAATTTTTAGCACTAAACTTATCATCATTAAAAGAATTAAGAAATTATTTAAAATAAAAATACCAAATACCAACAATTATTTTATTAATGAAAAATCTCCCTAAACAGGTTTTAAAAAAAATCAAACATTTTTTCTTCATGTTTCATATACTTATTAAATCATAAAAAAAGAGGGCTGAAAATAAGTGACCATGAGTCATAATTAGTATTCAAGTGGTATCCCATTATAGTACATAGAAAAGATAAGCAGTTTTTTGTCACCTCACTTACAGGTCAATGAAATAAACAGAAAAAAATGGTGGACATTTACATTTTGTACATAGAAAGTGCTGTTGTGTAGAAAAATATTTCTGTATATGCAACTATAAAAAAATGATTATAAAAAGTAATTTTATCATATTTAACCACTTTCGCTGTGCAAGAATTTCATGTAGTTTTTGATTCTATTTGAATATCTTTTTTTTTACACATTATTTATGAAAACAAAAGGAACCTAATATTATAAAAAACTAAAATGCTGGAATTTTCTTTTCATTTACTATAATGTCTAATCCACAGTTTTGTGTTCAAACTAGTTTTTAACAGCAGAACATATTTATTCAGTACTTCATGGCACTTCCAAATATTTAAGCAATACAAGTTGAGAATGGGTTGAAATATGACGATCAAAAGTGAAGTAACGTAGGTGAATATAAGTAAAATTATATAGTACTGTGAATACAATACAGGAAATGAAATTGGATTATTTAAGAAGTTTTTTGTTCTTTTAATATGGCCTTTTCTTATTCTTGTTGGATTCCTATAATGCATGAAATTAATTTCATCTTAGAGTGATAATTAAAAGGTCATAAAGGTCACTGTGAATGACCACTTTATTATTGCACTTTTCTTATTGTTTTTGTTTGTTTTTTGCTTTTCTTTGTTTTTTTTTTATAATTATAAATAATATAAGACAAACCTACCCATTGCACTTTGTTTATACCAAATATATAAAAACAAATTTATTATTATCATCATCCAAATATAACAACTAAGTAATTCATACAAAAAGACAAAAAAAAAATAAAGAATCAAGTGGATAAAAGGTGGGGGCTGTAGCCCCAGACCCAGGCTAAAAAAAAAGACCCATTTTAATTTTTTTAGGAAAATGCTTAATAAAAATCATTCGACTGAGTCTACTAATTTTTAAAGAATGAGAGAGAGTTTGTGTGTAACATGGGTAGGCCTATTGTGCAATGAGGAATGCAGAGATTTTATGGGCTTGCCTACAAATAGTGTGACTTGGTGTAGCCCTGATCTGACCTAACATATTTGCATACAATTTACAATGCAAATGTGCTTGGTCTAAGAGAGACAAGACCTAGTCACGCTAATTGAGTGACAGGCCTCAGCCAATAAAAATCTATTCACTCCACATCTTCATGATGCTATCATGACTTACACCTAAAACACCATTGTTTATCATGTGATCAAGCAGTAAGCCTATTATATGACTAGACCTAAGCTGCTAGGCTAGATTGAAGATATCTATATCTTTTGATTCTTCATTCTCAAAGGCTTCACATTTTGTTCAAGAAAAGAGTTCAGTCAATACTAACAAGGTAAGTAACACTATTTTAACATTTTAGGATATAATGTATCAATTGCTTGTATTTCTTGAACAGAATTTACAAATTGTTATTCCGTAAAAAATCCATAATTACTTGTGGGCCTACATTGGCCCATTTTTAGCTGTAAATAATTCATTAAATTCATAAAATTTAAAATTTTTGAGTTAAGCACAGAAAATGATATGCGATCATTTGTGATGAAGCTATTTGGTAGCTCATTCTGAAATCTCTCTCTAACACCACACACACAAGTACACTTATATGTGAACACACATATTATTCGTTAAGTGTTCATCTTATATATTATACAGATGTACAAACACAAGACCAGTTGGGAAAAGCTAAAGAGGAAGAAAAAATTACAGAAAGTAGCAGCTAAAACCAAGAGGCTAATGGATTTATGGGCTTTGTCCTCTAGTGCAGAAACCATCACCAGCCAAGACAGTGGAAACAACAATGTAGACACTAAATCTCTGGATGCTGATGACCAATGGTTATCAACCTCGTCAAAATGAATCAAGCCTTTATCAACAGGAAGAAATTAATTATTGCAATGGTGATGAAGATACTAACCCATCCTTTACAACTGACATTGGGACATGGACGCAAGTTTCTGATGAAGTGAGAGATTTTGTTTGTGCATTGGAGATTACCTCTTGCCAGTACATGGATATGGATTTCACTGCATCTACAAAATCTATATCAGGTGAAAAGTATAAATGCCAATGCTCAAATACTTTTTTTTTATCATGAGCTATTTAATGGAAAAAAGGTTAAAAGAGACTGGCTTTGCTACTTACCATGGAAGGGGAATGTCTTCTACATTATATGCAAATTGTTTTCAACATCAATAGAAACTTCTCCACTAGCAACAACTAGTTTCTCTGACTGGTTGTTGCTGCAAGGAACTTTAGTCAACACAAAACAAGCTCATTACGTCAAAGTTGCATCACCAAACTTGTTATTCATATAACCAAAAGCAGACAAACTGACAAGACTTTAACAGAACAGATGGAGTCAGAGAAGAAATACTAGCACCAAGTTTCTATCATCCAGAGGGATAGCATTCAGAGAAAGTGATGAAGTAGTTGGTTCAGTGTATAATGATAATTACTTAGGAATACTGGAGCTATTGGTTAAGTATTACCCATTTCTTGCTTAAAACATAAAAAAAATGCACAAGTAAAAGAAAAGATCATGTTTCATATGTATCTTCAACTGTTTGTGACGAATTCATAGAAATCCTACACAAAGAAGCTCTCACCACCATTATCCAGGAAATCAAACATCCAAGTATTACTCAGAGTCTGCTGATTCTACTCTAGACATATCCCAAACAGATTAACTGACAATAATCTTTAGATACATTCTAGATGATGGCCCTGTAGAGAGATTTGCCACATTCTTACCAATAAGTAACCATACAGGAGCATAACTTACTGGTATTATCATTAATTTCCTTGGAAAACAAGTATATATGAGTTCAAAATTGCCATGGACAGTATTATAATAAGTCATCCAATATAAACAGCAAATACACTGGCATACAAGCCTTGATCAAAAAGAATAGCCCCTAGCAGACTATATTACCTGCTGTACTTATATGCTTAAATTGGATGGACAATGTGCTGTGGACTGCTGTACTGAAGCTTGTTTATCCTTTGCCTTGGTGCAGAAGTTTTGATGTGTATTTCTCAGGTTCAACCCGCCTACGGAAGCAGCTACACAATTTACTTGAAAAACTAGGGATCAGGTCAATAAATAGGTTATGAGACACAAGATGGAGTGCCCATTCAGACACTATGCAAGCCTTAAAAATGGGGTTCAAAGCCACAATGCAAGTCCTCACTTCCATTACAGACGATGATTTTGAAATGCCTTAAGTGTGCTTAGAGTCAAGAAGCTTTATGATACAATTAGAACTAGAAACAAGTATGACGACTTAATTCTGGTGTGTTATCCCGGAGAGACTTAACAAGACAAGTCGTTCCTTACAAAACTCTGTCAGTACAGATGGATGTTAGTACAGCTCTTACAGGAATTACAAGATTCATTTCCTGAATATGAGGAAAAGGGTAAACAATCGTCAGGATGCAAGACATATGAGGTTGAAAAATCAAGGAAAAGGAGGAAAAATATGTGATGGAATAAAGAGGATGCTGAGGACAGTGATTTTTCACCCTCTACTCAATATAAAGTTCAGACTTTCTTAACAGCAATTGACAAACTCTCACTTGCAGTAGACAACAGAATACCAGCATATGAAAACGACAGTTGTAATTTTAAGCGATTCTAACAATTCATTTTATATGCACAAAAGTGTTGGTGCATTTATCCTGTCTTGGCACATTATTGATTGAAGTATGTTCTTTCTGCTTTTTATTGTTGAGAATAATCTTTCTCCTGAGGAATTGCTTGATATGAAGCACAGGTACATCCTTAGCATTATTAGGACATATGGGAAAGTTGATTTCAGAAATTTGTCACATATCATTCTCAGCGTATTTTATTCCTTGGATTCTTATGGTTTTTCAATGAACCCTGCCTTGCAGAGGGTGGCAAATTGAACAATTTCTTCCTCTGTGCAACTCTCCAAGTCTGTAGAATACATATTAATCAGCATTTTGGTGGCATTGTGGAGGTCCTCTGTAGGCATGGGCTCTAAATTTTTTAAAAATCCGACACCAAATAGATCACAAATGCCTTTACTACAAAAAGAGCAAGGAAGACAGTAATTTAACTAAGTACAGATGACATAATCTGCTGCTATTGCTGGGCATACTATGTGAGTACCAGTTTGACCTAAGCATGTGTGTGTGTGTGAATATATGACTTGTTGAGTTTATGTGTATGTGGTTTCTTTCATTCTATATGCTTTGTTGTACAAATGCAAATTATGTCTGTGTTAGAACACCACTTTTTCAATACAAGAAACATCTAATATTGTTCATGAATTTGTAGACAAGTCTTTCAAACCTGTGGATATTATCTTCCCATTGTCTTCAAAAGTAAAACATATCTTGAGGTTTAATTTTTTTTACCTTAGTCTTTAATCGTGATCATAATAGACCTGGTATAAATATTTAACCCCAGGCTAATAAATCAAAGCACTTCCTAAATATTCAAAGTATTCTAAAATCACTTTTAAATTTGGATTAGAACTGAAGATTAGCAAAATGCCACTGGATTCAAATGGCACTGGAATTTTTTGCCGGATGATGATACAGGCATAATTATGAACATTGAAACATTTGTAACCAACAGTCAAAATTATTAAAAACTTTAAAAATACTGGCTGCATTTACAAGAGAAACCACACTAAGATAATAAATTAATAAGTTTTTCTGGTAGTTTGTTGCACATAATCCTTATGCATCTTTCAGTAGCAATTTTAAAAAAAGTACATGCTAGCAAGTTTCAACTTTTTTTTTCTTTTTTTTATTACATCTTTTTTTTTTTTTTCACTTTATAATCATTACCTGGAAATTCACATGAGCTGACTAGTTATAACCAATCAATGCACTAAACTCACAAATCTTTTTTTTATTATTTTGCCAGTATTATTGCACTTTTGCAAGTAACTGTCAAAAGTAACTGGCAAACATTTGCCAGTGGACAAAAAATTAGTTCCAAACCCTGTGGCTAATGCGAAAACATAAAAATCAAAATTTACCAATATTAATAATATCCTGAAGTATTTTAAAGATCTCATTATATACTTAAAAACTAGGATTTTTTTTATCCACACTGCATTATTTCAGTTTCATAATAATCATAACCTTCAGGAAGGTTAGATGCCTACAAATGACATATAAGCATTAAGTGTGATGAAAATATACTTTACAAAGCTGTAAGGAATAAATCATTTATCTAGTTTTACATACAATGTCTTGTTCATATACACATCACACATGTACAAAATCCATCTTTTTTTAAACACTGATCTGCTGATACCTACACTAACAGATCCGACAGTTCTGTAAACTCTGAACAACTTTTCAAGTAATACAAATAATGGTTGACAGCTTCTGGTCTCTGTAGTACTTCTTGAATAAACACAGATTGTTTCAATGTTTTTTTTAAAAAAAGCACAATCTGAAAAAGACCAGAATCGTATTTCATTTCAGTAATGTATTTTAATATACTTGAAATTGATACAGTTCAAATAAATTATCATTCACATGACCAAAATGTGCAAATCCCTTAGTTTAATATTACATATCTATCAATCAAACCACTAATACCATACAATCCTATAGCATTACACAAAAGACAGTAACAGTTATTGTACTTCTTTTTTCATTTTGGTAATACAATGCAACATACTAGTACAAAATATACAAATTTCAAGGGTTATTGTTACTTCATCCTTTATTCTAATAACACAGTACATCATACTGGATCATATAAAACTTTAGAATCAGTTAATAAACTTTTATCTTTTATATATATACACACACAAACATTGAAAACCAAAGACTGCTGCCAATAATGCATTGTGTTCAGTCACATTGCATTAAAAAAAGAATACAATGTGATTTTCATTACTGAAATAACACAAGGAATGACAAAAGATGGTTGTAGACAGCCCGTTAGACAGTTATATTGCATATACACTCCGCTCCAAAGGATTGAGTTGACTGCTCATTATATTTATTCATCAATGCAATGGGTGCATCTAGCACATCAGAGCACTCAGCTCTGCTAAGTAGCTGCTGGATTTGTTCTACTGGATTCCACTTGTTTTTGTCATTTTAGTGAGTGCAAGGAATAACTGCTGTGAAAGTGAGAGCTTTTTGACAGTTGTAATTTCTATAATAAGTTTCAAAGGGGACATGTTCAATTCAAATCAATTTATTCAACATGGGACAATAAAATCATACATATATATGATACCAACATGAAAATAAAAAAAATTAAAACTGAATAACACATACTGTATGTACTCAAACATGTTCCTCTCTTTATGCATTTTTTCCATTCATGCTCCTCTCTTTAAAATATTTCTTTTAGTCTGTCGACAGAGGAAGTCCTCATTTTTTGTGAAATTCTCCCACAAAAAGAAACATTTTTGTCCTTAATACATTTTTTTCTCAGATTATCTGTTCAGCACATATGAAGACTGATGGATTGATGTTGATACTGATACAAAATTTTATGAATTGCAAAAAAAACTATAATTTTCTTGTAATGTACTTTTGAAAAGAAGCATTTTGTTCAACAGGCATTTACTATAATTATTGTATTGTACAGGTAATCTTATTAAAAATAGGTATTGTCATTCCATCTGTCATCATAATAACCATACACCATATACACTATACATAAGTTACTATATTTCTATAATTGATCTAAATAGCACAATACAATCCTATGTACTATACAAACCTTACAACAGTTATTGTATTTTGATTGTCTGATTTTATTGCTCTATGAAATTCCTGCTTTTCTACCTTTCATCTTAATAACACAATCTAATCTTATAGTAATAAAGAAAAATCTTACAGCAGTTATAATACTTCCATCTTTTATTTGAATTGCACAGTCCAACAACTGAAACTTGTCTTTCTTTGACTTGAAGTGTTCCAAGAAGAAGGGCTAGATTTGATTGGATTAAACATTTAGAAATTACTTTTACATCATAAATTTCACTACCTTCAAATACAAGGTCACAACAATGTACTTGATTCTTTGTTGTCACACAGTTTTTTATTCTAATTGTTAAATAAACCTGCACATGTAAACTCCTATTAAGTTCACTTAAAAACTTGAAAGAAATTCCAATCTCATATTAATTACTGAAGTGGGTAAATTTAAAGCAAAGCGTAAAACAATGAGAATAACTATATGAAAGTTTCCTTTGAATTAATTCTTAGGTAATAATATACAGTAATAGCATTTAGTGAACACTGAGTTTAATATTCTTGGTATGTTTCTGAGTGTTTTCAATGTTTTAATCCATTTAAATTTCATCATTCCTTCATTCTTTAATATTTTATTATTGAATATTCTTCGATTTTATGTAGTTTCTTCCATGTTAGCTGGATCATTTTACTAAATATCAGCATAAGAATGCAACTGTTTTGAAATTTAAAAAAAAGTAATAAATTAAACTTAATTTTAAAAGAAATAACTAGCAAGTACTTTGATATCTTACCTGTCCTAGGACCATTCTTTTAACTGTATTTATTGGAGAAGTATGATTTTTAATGTCTTTCGAAGAACTCTGTAAAAAATTCGAACATACAGTGCCATTTAACCATTGTTACCCAAAAAAAGTTTTAGTACTGCTACAATACACTTCTGCTGTTGTTACAGTACATCTCAACTTAATGTAATAACAATACATTTACAACTACTTACATATACAATATTTGTTGTTTTTACTAAGATTATACATTTCAACAACTGCTACATTAAACTTTTACTATTATTTCAGAATTTCATTTCTATTGCTGTTAGAGCACATATAAGTTTCCACATTCAAATCTACTACTAAAACATTAATGGCTCATTATGACTTAATTCTCATTTAATGGTATTTATATTTAGTATTTTCACCCAAAATATCAACTTGTACTAAAACGTACTCTTGGCTCTAGTTTCATTGATATTAGGTGGTCTTCTATTAACTGTGTGGAAGGTAAACTGGACTCAACCACTGCATCAAAGCCCACTAGAAAAAAAAAATCAAAAATTTTAAGATTTGTCCATAAACAACAATGAATTCACTGAATCCTGATAAATCTATTCTCCTTTTATAAAAGTACTTAGGTAATAAAATACATAACTGTTTAGTTTTTTTCTTAAGACACATCTTATTCACTTTTTTGAAATTAGTTCTTAGAGTTAAACACATCCCACAACACAAACCTTTCTCTGATGAGTGACTGGTAGTAAGCTCGTTAACTGTGTTTGCCGATACATCTTTGTGCGGAAGATGGGAAAATTTAACTTTACTTGTAGGAACAACAGTAGTAAAGTCCTGAAACAAAAATCATAGGCTATATGAAACTCAGCAGCTTAACATTTTGATTTTAAATGTATTCTTTTTAAGAAAACGCTTAGAACAATAGAACTTACTGAACAAAAATTAGAAATATAGTTCACTAAAAATAATGAAATGATTTAAAACCATAAAAAAACTGTTATTTAATTACAGATCATCTGTTCTATGTAAATGTAAACTAACAAAATTATATATTTTTTCATAACTCTTACAGACATAGTACAGTGCTGCAGTATAATAATAATAATGTCTACAGCAGTTAATACACATGTCCGAAAAAGGTTTTAATTGTAATACTAGTACCTCTAACCCATAACACAGCATTACAAAAGTTATTTTACTAAATTACAAGATACAAGTTCCCTGTATATTAAACACATATGTACCTTACATTACTGACACAAATAAAAGCTAACATACAACACAAATAAAATTCATATGTTATTAACAAAAACAAGAGGGAATCCTCAATAGCTACAGCACTTGAAATTCTTTTATGCAAGATTAGAGAAAATTAATCTATAAGACCTTTGTTTTCCTTTTTTATTAGCTACATTTTTGTGTGCTAGCAAAACCAAGTGTGGGGCGAGCATATGCCCAATTAGATTTTATTACTATCAGGATCTCTAACAGCCTACCCTCAAATTGAAATTCTTTTAGGTAGGATTAGATTAAATTAATCTATGAGATCTTAGGCGTGGTCAAATATGTCCATCAAAAGGGTTTGATCTACTGAGTCCAAAAATGTAAATAGACCTCAAATCGGTCAAGAGATGATGGAGCTATGAGCTAAAAGTTTGAAGCTGAAATGAAAAACACAAAAAAACTCAGCCTTTCTATTAGCCGCTATGCCAAGGCTAAAAATAATAGACTGTGATCTCTGAACAAAACATAATAAAATATTCAGTTACTTGTTATTTGTATGCTTTGTAATATTTCTAGTTAAAATTATTTATGATAATTTTGAGTTAAGAAAAAGATAAAAATAAGAAAGAAAGATTTTTTTCAAATTACAATAATAATACAACCTCCATGTTCAGTCCTGTTTAACAAATAACTTAGAAAGTATCAAGAATATCTTGACATAGTATCAATGTTTTAAAAAAAAGCTATCAGTAAATCACTTACTAATCTTACATAAAACAGCTAAAATTAAAAACTTTGTTTTCAAATTTTAGGTTTCATTAAATTTTTTTCGTATTTCCTACTTACCTCCTCATTATCATCAAAATCAAAAGTTATTTCAAGTTTTTCATGCCAGTACTCTTCACTATCAAACCTAAAATAAGTTTAAATATTACAATTCTCTTTCTGAATTATTTATCTACCTCAACATTTACTGTAACAACCAATAACTGTGATAAAATTTTTGACATTGCCATATCTAATAGTTGATTGTTTTTCCCCTTTCCTTAGTTTAAAGGAAGATGAATTGCATGTTTCCTCTCAGTAATATATGCATAGTCAATTTATTAATAATGTTAAGTAGTCCCAAACAATTAGTGCTACATATATCTTCTTTATTTAAAATGGACTCATAAAAACAGAAATTGGGTTTCAGATATGAGATTCCTACCCAGATGATGACATCACATACCTGATACATTTTGGCAGGGCTCCACCAGTACAAAATTTAGCACTAAACCATTGCCTGTTACCCATAAAAATCATTATACATCTGATGAACAAAAACAACTACTTACTGAATTTGAAAGTTCATTGAAAAACTGAGGGAAAAAAAAAAAGATTTTATGC